CATGACTCACGCACAGGTATCTCTCGTCCAAAGCAAAATTAAAATCCCCTTTTATTTCTGTGGGACAAAAGTATTTGTCACCATAACCAGACTGCAAAAACAGCGATCCGAACAAAGGACTGTTGAAAATCGGCAGAGCGGAAATATGCCGCCGTGCCTGCAACATCGCTGCTACACCACTGAAATCAGAAGGGACAGACTTATTCATTTGAACGGTACAGTGGCAGAGTCAATGTCTCAGGCTATCACGTGGAGAGGTGAGCACCTACTAGGAGCACAATCTCATTTATTCAGTGCATCAAGAAAGGGGGATGAAAGGAGTGTCAAATATTAGCACACCCGGTACATCTAAGCCACAAGCAATATGACCACAGTCAACTGACGATGCTTCGGACAATTCGACAAACAATGACCGAGATCACCTTGAGACAGCTAATCAGTAGAAGAGAGTGTAGTTGTTTATAATGTGCCTGGACTGGTTTATTTAAATCCTAAAAATGTCAAATGGCAATAACTCTAGACGGCAAGGAAAGCTTGAAAAAGAAAATGCAAGACTTGAGGCAATAAGCAACCAACATTTGGAGAGCAATAAGACGATTTCATTGCAGATAGAACCAGTTAGCAGGGTGGTTACACGAAGCAAGCTGAACTGCCATTCTTCCTACTGACAATAAGGAATAGCAAACTTTAATATGAGGGTGGCAGGATCACGATCAGTGGACGCAAACTCGGTAATACCTCATTGGGGCGGAACACTAAGATGGTAGGTCATTTGGGGTGGTGCAAAATCACCACCTGTATCTAACGTGAAATGTACCTCAGCGAAGCAAGAGTCAGTTGACACTTCCGCAATTAGAGTACAATCCCTCCGAGCAAGGAAGCATCAAGGCAGGATCCCGAGGGAGCATGGTCAAAAACTGAAGGAAACGTTGCACTCAGACGGTAGCGCATTATGCCGACTGATTGACAATTTGCAAACCATGTCATTTAAAATTACAAGGTGGTGAAGATGGAGTCAGTGGTGAGTCGTTTAAACATAATGAAGGCATTATTAAGGGAAGTTCTGCCGAGGAGATGATCAAGAGCTGCCAGGATTCTTTTGCTTGAACCGCGGGATAGGGAGAATGGAATCAGTTAGCTGCACTTCAACTTACTGTGCAAGGAATGAATACGTTTTCTGCAAGCACTCATTGAGATGAAATGTGGAAACAGATATTTTTTTGTCGAAATCGTGAATTATGGAGAGTAGAGACGTCTGACACAGATTCATGCAGGGTGAGTTGAGAGGGGTTTCATTAAAGTGGAACGCCAAAAGAAAAGGTGGTAAAGTCCACCAAAAAAATCATACGGATAGCTTTGGATGAACTAATAAGTGATAAGGCTAGAGTCAACCGACATCGCTGACAGCTTTTGACCCCTCTGATGAAAACTTCATGTGTGGTCAAGAGGTGTAGAAACACATTCATTCTGACCGCAGAACAACAAGGCCAGGAGTCGATCAACAGGACACCAAGACCATATCACATGAACCACAAATTGGCAACGCCTCGGGTACAGTGTACTCCTGATGGACGAAACGCCTTTAAGGTAGAATGTGTGGACGGTGGAGTGAGAGAATGATCGAAACATAACAGAATACAGTTGATTTAAGGCGACAAAGGAGCAGGACTACAGCATGTTGACGATGATTCATTGAGGTGGAACTCTAATGCTAACAGTATGGGATAGTGGTAATCAAATATTATCAAACTGCGAGATGGTAAGGTTTAAGTTTGTGGCAAAATTCTTAGTCGGGAGAGTGTACTCACCTTTAGTGGGATCTCATTGAGATAGGGCGGTTCCCCAGTGATCATCTCCAGCGCCATGATGCCTAACGACCAGACATCCACCTTGGGACCGTACTGCTTCCGCGATACCACCTCGGGTGCCATCCAGTAGGGTGTGCCCACTATGGTTGAGCGCTTATTCTGCTCTGCCGAGAGCTGTGCGCAGAACCCAAAGTCCGTCAGCTTCACCGAGCCGTCCAGACCCAGGAGGATGTTGTCCGACTTGATGTCGCGGTGGATCACGTTGTTCCCGTGCAGGAACTCCAATGCTTGCAGACACTGCACAGTGGGAGAGAGGCGAATGATGTCAAGATGCCGACATCAAGTGTGGCCACTTGGGTACAGTTTCAATGTCATCGAGGTTGCCAGTCTGCCTTTATAAACCAACTTCTAGAGTGATGTGTCCTATTACCTCAGTGGCATTATTAAGACATTTGACACAAAAGTAGGCAGAGAAATAGCATTCCGGTGACCTTGGCTACCCTACATTGGAACGAAGCAAACGAAGATGCCCAACTTGTTGACGTATCTCGCATCGTAGGCACTAATTGCCTGCCTGGCGCTAAGAGCTGATCTGATTTTCCATTAATCACCGAAAATGGTCAATAAGCCAGCGATTACTGGCAGGTGAAACACTACCTAGTCGACTTCATTCAATCGCTAAAAAAGTAATTACGTACCGTGATGAAGTGGAGCTATGAAAGCAAATGGAACGATCAAGGATGGGAGATGTTCAATCCGAAAAATGAATCGTAAATATAGACATTCAGGTGAACCGAAATTCACCTATTCGGTAAAAGAAGAAGAGTTGCTGTAATGCTGGGACCTCCTCTTCTTCCCAGCCAATCAGGTCAGTGAGTTTGCATGTATGCGAGATAGCGAATGCATTCAGGTAGTAGCACACTTAAAAGTTGGCACCAAATACAATCCATACTTGTCAAAATTGAAAGGAGTGCTATTCCTTGTAAAACTAATCATGCCAAACAAACAAGGAGGTAAAGTTAAGCCAAAGGTTAAAAGAAAATTGGTTTTTTAGGATCTATTCCTGTATGTGTATTGAGAACATGAAGAAGGATTTCAGTTAATATCAGGCGGCAAAGAAAGTTCCTGCGGTTCTCGTTTCACCTCACTGCCTTAACTCATTTCAGCGTCTAGAGACTTCTAAAACGTATGAGCTTGTTTATAATCATGCATTACACGGCGTGGATATGCCTCACTCTTTTGACGTGACACTTTATTGTGCTCGCCGCTACTTTGCTCCATCGGTTGAAGGTGAAGGATGTGACCCGAGCATGCTCGTATTACGAACTGAGTTGAAGCTGAAGTAGCGATAAGAGCAGGAGCTTTATAGTTGTGTAGCCATACATTGTTTAAAAACATACATAAGTAGACACCAATAATGAATCACATAAAGATCACAGAAACATGTTGGAATTAAATAGTAAAGATTAATAAACAAAAGAAAGTTGTTGAAATTATCCTTCCCAAATAGCTGAGATATTCGGTAAAGGGTTGGCATGAGAAAGAGACAGTGCAAACTGGAATCTAATTATTCCTTTTAATCTTTTAATCTGTTTTGTTTTCTCACAAATCCTCCCCCCTTACTGGGGAAATTTGACAGCCAAGCATCGTTAGCATAAATTAAGGAAGTGGGTGAATTTGAAGCAAGCCTTTTAGGGTGTCTTTAAGCAAATATTAACACCTCTTTACTTCTGATTTTTTT